AGCGCAAAAACTGAACGAGAGGGGCTGCTGTTGTGTGTGTGTGTGTGGATAATAGCAAACACTGAAATACATTTTTTGCAATTTTGTTCACTTAAATTTAGCTTTTCTTCGCTCAAAATACATTTCTTCTCAAAATCCAAGACTTGCACCTGCAATTTTTTTTTTATGTGCGCTCAGAATAGTGGCACAAAAATAACACCATAGTGAATGGACTGATTCTTATATAGCGCTTTTCTACTCTCCTAGAGCACTCAAAGCACTTTATACAAGACTCCGCATTCACCCATGCACTGTTTTCTATGCCTTTCAGTGCTTTCTAATTAATTAACTAACATTCATACTTGATGGATGAATCGGAGAGTGAGTGGGGGTTAGTATCTTGCCCAAGGATTTTTGACATGCAGAGTGGGAGAGCCAGGGATCAAACCACCAACCTTCCAATCAGTAGATGGCCTGCTTTACCTCCTGAGCTACAGCCACCTCAAGTCTGGGTCATTTGCTCTGTCATCTCAACCCCCCCACCTGACATATATAATTAGCTTCACATATCAAATACTTTTCAAGATACTTGTTTTTCGTTTGCAATTTGGTCCAGGCCTAAAGTCTGAGGCAATGTTTTAACATTTAACATTTTCATTGGCTTTTTTGTTTCTTTAAACAATCAAAGTGAATCACGATGTGTAATTTGAGACAGATCAAAAAAGTCTGCAACTATTGGGTAACTGAAATATGGAAAAATGTAAGCAATTCTCACCTGCCAGAGACAACTAGTGATAACTTCTGAATAGTATATAATATTAAACAGGTCACAATAAAATAATGTAAAGTAAAACACGTAGAACTTTTTTTTGCATGAAATTCTTTGGCACAAAAATCAAGTAAAGAGTATTTTCATTAAACTTTTATTGTACCGTATTTTTCAGACCATAAGGCGCATCGGATTATAAGGCGCACTAAGCGAAACAAAACAGTCAAATAAGTCAAACTTTCCTCAACTCATTCTTCTTGTTTCCTCCACTTCTGTATCATTGATTTATTAATGTTGAATTCTCTGCAGCTGCTCTATTCCCATGTTGTTGCAGTATATTAATGACTAACCTCGTATTGTGGATGGATTTTCTCAGTTGTTCTCCTGACTGAAGTTTGGTCCGTTTACACCCAGACAATCAGGAACCCTCACGTTAACTTTTATCGAGTGGAAAAAAGTTAGCGTTCATCCTCCAGCTCCACTGTGTTTATGTTATGCTAACATAGCTGTGTTGCTAGCCAACACATAGCACATCATTATATACCAGCTAGCCCAACTTCAGTAACCCTACAAACGTCACTGCTGTTTAGTTTTCTGTCTTCATTTATGTTGGAAGTGATAGCAGAGCTATACGTTTGAATTATTTCAGAAATCTCTCAGTCAAAATATCATGTTTAGGTGGAAGCTAGCGAGCTAACTTCCTGCTAACTTCCTGCTAACTTCTAATTCTGTTAAATTTAATAAATTCTGTTTTCATGGATGCCTGGATGTTAAACTTAATTGTTACACCTGGTAAAGCAGCAACGCTGATCATTTTATTAAAGATGAAAGAAATTAGACAGTTTTTAACTCTCAGTGATGCCGAAGTGTTCGTTTGACTTTGAAGCTAGAAGTAGACGGAGTTTAGGACCCAGATTACTCCGCGAGGCTCCTGATCACTGTAGCCATTATGCTCTGAAAATCCATCAAGTGGTGCGGCTTCGTAGTTTACCAAAGTCGTATTAAAACATTTTTTGACAGATTTTTAAGTGCTGTGTACCACATAAAATCAGTTCGAGATCAGTAAGCACAACCAGAATTCATACATAAGGCGTACTGTTGATATTTGAGGAAATTAAAGGATTTTAAGTGCACCCTAGAGTGTGGAAAGTACGGTAGTTAGTAAATATCATTTTATAGTAGTGTGTATTCAAATATGGGAATTTTTAAGAGAGCTTTAATTTTTTTTTTTTTGTATTTTAGCCAATACTTAGAATCTTTTCTAAATTCCTTTTGATGAAAACAGAAGTGATGAAAGACAAGTAATAATTCCAGGCTTTTATCTTTAATAGTTTTTGGGCCATTCATGTTCCAATATTGTCTCCGATTTCAAATTGCCTGAAAATGAGTGGATGGACCATTTTTCTAAAAACATATATCTTGAAAAGTATTTGATATATGAAGCAAAAATTCTCAGCAATAATTATTTGTCTCCAGACTTTGGACAATCACATTTTTAAACAAATTGAATATGGCTAAGTAGAAAATATTCTAAAACAAATGCTGATTTGACCCAGGTCTCAGAAATGAACAATATGTTCATATTTAACATAATAATTTCATTTTTTCACCATGTGGAGATTGAATGGACACTTTACCAGTGTTTGTGATTTTCTGCTACAACTTGTCATATTTACTTGATCCAAGTTGAGTGAAAAATGGCATTATCTTAATTTTTGTGACTATGAATTTTATGTTCAAAAAATATTCTACATGCTTTATTTGGCAGTATTGTTAAATTCAACTATATACCATTAAAAAAGTGTCACTCGTGTGTGTGTGAAGTGTTTTAATAGGGTGCGCTCAACATTCACTTTGCACAAGGGCTTTAATTAATTTTTCAGATTTTAATTATTAGCCATGTTTTAATATATGTGTCCAAAGAAAACTTTCAGGCTGTTATCTTTAATAGATGTTGTGATATTCACGTTCAAACATTGCCTCAGATTTCAATGTGTGAAAAAATGGTCAAAGTAGGTCGGCAGGCAGTCTCACAAAAAATTATGTGCTGGACATTATTTGATATATGAAGCCAAAATCTTGCAGCAATCATTCTGTGTCCAGACTTTGTACCACAACATTTTTTTGCAAATTGGAAATGGTCACACAGAAGGCCCGTACTGATTTGAGACCCCTCTGTAACTTGTTATAAAGGATGATGGTGAAAAGGTTCTAACACGTAAATGATGCAGTGAATGACGTTCAGGTTAGTTGATGTTTTCACTCAGGAGTGTGCCTCCTTTCAGCCCATCACAGCAGCTGCACCATCATTTGCAAAGTCAGCAAACCTTGCTCATATTTTTTTTCAGAGACAGTCTTCATAACTGCATGTTGTGGCAGACAGCAGAGCTGTTCCATGACTGCAATTTAACAAGCTGAAAGAAGAAGCTGCAGAACTCACTTTTGTAGGGAATTCTGTGGTCAGTGATCAGGCAAGTGTTTGACACACAGTAGGAATAGTTATAGTATTTATTATGAGTCTCATAATCATTCTCATTGATTTAGTTGATTGTAGTTCTTCAGAAACAATGGTCATTAGCAGCTTACTGGAATATTGAAATGGAAATCGGATCTGGTGGCAGTGGCAGTGTCATCTGTCACTGGTGACGAGTTCTAACTATGAAAGTCAGTTTCCGATTTTAATTTTGTTGTAGACGGTTTTAAGATGCAAATCTTTTAAATCCCCACTGGAGACAAAAATAATAATTTAGTGGGGGAGGAGTGGATGGGCATGTAGACACTGATAAATGGAATCACAAAATAACATGTCATGGTCAGGGAAATGTTAAACATATAAGCAAATGTTTAGCAATAATTAATCACTTCACTGGATTAATAATTAAATGTGTGAGCTCTCCTCTCTTGTCGCTGGTGGCAGGCACTAAAAAAGGAAAAAAAGAGTTCATCCACCTGATTACCTCCACCTGAGTCTCAGCCTCCTTGGCACTGCCCCTCAGCCACCTGCCACAAGGCCATTGTCAGTTTCCGGTTATCATCACCCTGATCCCTGGGAGGTACCTGTAATGGTACTCTGGCTCTCTTCCACAGCGTGTCTTTTGTCCTGTCTCCCCAACCAATCACGGTAGATGGCCCCGCCCCTCCCTGAGCCTGGTTCTGCAGGAGGTTTCTTCCTGTTAAAAGGGAGTTTTTCCTTCCCACTGTTGCCAAAGTATTTGCTCATAGTGGGTCATATGATTGTTGGGTTTTTCTCTGTATGTATTATTTTATTGTAGGACTGTGCCTTGATGCAAATGATGTTGTGATTTGAGGCTGTATAAATAAAACTGAACTGAATTTAATTAAATTGATTAGCACAATACTACCCTTGTGCACCCTTTCACTTACATAAGGCATAACCATGTTGTGGATATTAAACAGAAGTAAACTGCGATAACCTTAAATAGTGACAATTTGAAAGAAAAAAAAGTTCTATCAAATCATACCCATCTATATTTTTCTGTGACAGCTGGAAAGATAGTATATTGGGGTAGGTTTAAAAAGATTTTAGTTTGAATAAAACGATATTGTTTCATAAAATCCTAAATCGATAAACTGTGTCAACAACCACCAAACAGCTAAAACAGCAAAGAGCAGGTAAACGGATTCTGCACAAAGATGTAAACACAAAGTGTGGATCGTTCTCCCGACGGCATGTACACAGAAACACCATCAGGTGCTGAAAGCAGACGTCTCATAGATTCTGAAGCTGCAGGTTTCATCACTCTGACCAAAATTCACTGAACCAGCAGCAAAAGACGATCCAAACTATGCTTCACGTTTGAGAAACATTGTCATGAATTACCTCTGACTTTTACTTCCTGCACAGCTCTCTCTCAGTGTACTCAGCAACCAGTTTACCATCAAAATCTCTGTTTTCTGCATTATTCACTTGCTTTCTACCGTTTTGTAGAGCACCGTCGCCCGCTGTTCCTTGTTTGTTGTGTTTTTTTTTCAAAAATGACATTCGACAAGAAAAGCCTCATTTCTGCTGTTCAGTACTGAAAAAAACTTTACAAATGATGCTAAATTGCAAAATGCTTAGCTGCATCTCTAATCAGACCTCTGTAATTTTGCTCTGCTTCACTTCAGCAGCATCAGGTAATGTTCATATGTTGATATTGTTCATGGTTTTCTTCCCTACTGAAGATTATCTGCTATAAAACGCCAGGCCAGGAAAGTCTTCTTCATGTTGTTCTGAGTTTTATCCTCACGTACTTTGACACAAAGGCCTCTGCTGTGATGCTCACACCTCTGATGAAGTCTCACAAGTGTTGAGTTTTTACACATAGATATAAAAACATGGACATGATAAATGATCAGAATTATAATATTTCTGACTGACTGAGTCAAAATTGAAGTGAATCTAATCAGTTACAGAAATCAAAATTGATACCCAACCCTGATAGTATATACAGTACTCTAAATCTGATAATCAAATCCATTAGTGATTAGTTCACATTATCGGTTATACAAATGGTGTGCCATTACAAAAACAAAAGTCCATTTTTGCAGAACTCCATCATTCCTTTTTTTCCCCTTCTTTAGCTGTTTCATGCCGAAAGCAGGATGGTGGGCAAGCAGACATTGAAGCTTGTCTTAAGTTTGCTAGCTCCATGCCATCTCTCACCCAACCCTGTCAGGTGCCCTGCCAGGAAGACTGTCAACTCAGCAGCTGGTCCAAGTTTTCTTCCTGTACAGCAGATTGTGTGGGTGTCAGAACCCGCAAAAGGATGCTAGTAGGTGAGTGGCCGACTTCCAGAAACTTTCGTGCTAGTTCAGCAGATGTAAAAACATATTGTTACTTTTCTGTGTGTGAAGGTCACCACATTGAACCCTTCACTAGTGGAAACTGGTTATAGATGATAACCGTTTATCTTTTGCTGTTTCTGCAGGGAGAAGTAGAAAGCATGACCAGTGTAAAAACAACCAGCTGTATCCCCTAAGTGAGACTCAGTACTGCCCATGTAATAAATACAATGCCCAGCCTGTAGGCAACTGGTCGGACTGTATCCTATCCGAGGGTGGTCGCATGGAGGGTCAGCTTGGCATGAAGATACAAGGTGACATCAAAGAGTGTGGCCAAGGCTACCGCTACCAAGCCATGGTGTGCTATGACCAAGACAACAGGATAGTGGAGACTTCTCGATGCAACAGCCACGGTGAGTTTTCTGTGACTGGATAACTAAATCTGACCCCAAGGCGTCACATTAACACCGTTCCCCGCAGAGCAGGGGTCTCAAACTTAAATGAGCCGTGGGCCACTGCTAACGCTGTCATCTCATTGGAGTGCCACTTTAGTGTTCAAGTAGCACAAAAAAACTAACCAAACAAACAAGAAAACACCCACAAATATTTCTGAAAATGTAGATTT